CAGTTTAAACAGCCACACAGATATTCTTTAGAAAAATACTGCATCCGTCCCACAAAAAGCTTTCACATTTCTTTTTTGTCCATCCCAAAAAGGTTCCACTTTCCATTAATGGCATACTTTTTGTGGCTCATATTCTTTATCTGTTTCTACATTCAATTTTCTTAATAACCATGATAATTCTATTGTGGAACCTTTGTTGTGGGACAGAGGGAATAATATTGAGTCTACAAGACTACAAGGGAAGGCTAACAATTGCAAAGATGCAACAGGTGATTTTCTTTGTAACTTGATTTGAACTCACTTGAAACTCAATTCATCAATTAGAAATAGAGATGTCAATCCAATCCGAACCCGGCCTTAACTAACCCACCCTGTTTCTAAAATACCCAAACCTGACTAGGCAAATTAAAAACCTGAAGTGGCTGGGGTCGTGTTCAGGTGGTTGGGTTTAAAGTTAGGTCAGATTCGGGTATAGCGGAACCCGTCCCGTTGCAATTCCTAATTAGGATGCATGACTGTGCAAGTCATTACTTTCAGAAATACTCACAGCTCTAGGTAAGGTAGAGACGGCAACCGAAGAGCTGCAGTTGGATGGAAGTGATACACAAAGCATGTGACATACAGTTTTTATAACCAAAAAATACTTGCCTCTTTGAAAATTCCTTTCAAGTCCCTCATCATGTTATTCAGTTATTAAAGCAGAAAGACACAAATATAGGTAAAGATGCAAGAAACATGTGCATATGGCTCTACTGCAGAACTCTAATCCAATTTCACAAATTTGGAAAGGAAGAGCTACTGAACTTATCTATATGTTCTTAGCAAGCTTAGTAACCCCTAGAAATATATATTGAACTAACTTATATGCCAAGGTTGAAAATTTCATTAGTGACATTAAATTCAGTTTATCTTTAGCCAAGTTTCCCATTGTTTACCACGTGAATCACAATTATGATACAGATTGAAATCTCACAGACTTTACTAACAGAGTTGCGCTAAGTAGGGGTGTTCAATCGGATCGATCCGATCTGATCCGAAAATTCGGATATCCGAAAATTTTGGATCACGTAAAACTCATTCCATATCCGATCCAAAAATATTCGGATATCCGAAATTCGGATATCTGATTTTTTGGATCGGATCACTGGATTATCCGAAAAGTTGAGTTTTTAGCCAAAATTTACAAAAAAAAAGAAGGTAAAATAGAAAAATCAACCCAAAATATAAAATTCAATATAGATTTACTAAAAGAAAAATTCCACCACTAGGTAATGGCCTAATAAAAAATGATACCAAATTTAATTTGGAGTAACTTTGGTAATTTTGCCTAAACAAACAAAAAAACACTATTAAAACAAAAGATTCTAAAATGCTAATGTAAAAAGTCCAAAATGGTTGAGTTCCAAAATCAACATAAAATTACATTTAAACATATAGTCATAATATATATCCATAAAATTCCAAAAAAATATAGCAAAAAAAAAACCGGATATCCGATTATCCGAAAAATTCCAGAAATTGAATCCATATTCGATCCGATTTTTTTCGGGTATCCGATCCGAAATATCCGAAAGCTAAAATATTGGTTCGGATCGGCCCGGATTGTGGACGGATATTTCGGATCAGATATTTTTGAACACCCCTAGCGCTAAGCTAGTCAGCATTCAAATATCTATCTAAATGATTGAAAATCAGTCCCTTTTTTCATAAAATGGAAGCATCAGTATGCCTTTTAGCAGGAATACCTAGTGACACCACGATATACGGAGCTTCTCTTGCCAGCAGCGCATGGGGGCATTTTGCTGATACGCTCCTTTGCCGTGCACACCCTCTCTTTCTTTGCTTTTTTCAGTAATCGGTACAATGACAGCTGATCACTTCCAATAGGCTCTGCAGTTTCTGATGATTCTACACCACAAACATCATTTCCACTGCTTTCTTCAGGTTTTGCAGATGGCTCAGAAGAGGGGGAAGCCATAACTGAAAACTATCCGCTGTAGAGGATAAATGAGAGTTAAAAAAAATTCAATCTATACACTACGAGCTCAAAGAGGGGATCGATGGGGAAGCTGATGGGAAAAATATTCGGTGTTTTGACTTTTGAGCTAGCAAACAAACAAACACCAGAGACACATAAACTGGGAGCACTATAACTGGAAGACAAAAAAACAGTTACCATGATTTGCTCATTAATACTGTAAGCATGTATGATTGGTTCAGCTTAAGTTTTTGAATTAATGCATAAAAGTCCACTTCTTGCAAACAACCTAACTGAAACTTTCTAACTTCCATGCAATGAAATAAGAGATTCAACCCCTCACTCCGAATTCCAAAATGCCTCGAATTTCTTACTTTCATCACTTTCTTCATGCCTACAACTACCTATACAGTTTCTATTCACTGACTTGGTAATAACTCAATTGAAACTGAGATTTAAGAGCAAATGAATAGCAGATATTCATATTAAAAAAATCACTTAATCAAGCAGCATTTGCGGAAAACCGAACTATTTGCTTCAACAGGAATAATTTTATGAATCCAACTTAGGTCACTCAAGAATCTTAGCTCGTTTCACTTTCCGACTAGAAACTAAAGTAAAACTACTATTGTAAGCACAATTCAAGTCGAGGGTTCGACTTCTGATTCGCTGTCTGAAGATCAGAGAAATGTATATGAGATTTTACCTTCCTAGAAGAATGAAGAATGAAGAAAGGAAGAGGTGCGCACCTGGAAGGATGTTCTTCGCCGGGAAATCTTCGAGGTTCGGATCGGAAATTGCAGCGGTGGAGAGCTGATGAGTATTGGCTTAACTTAACGTTGAGATGAAATTTGACCGCGTGGACACCGTTTCACGAATTTCTGGTCGGTTCAATAAAGAAAGAGATAAGAGTGGCCTCAGTGACTCATTTGTATATTCGTATACGGAGTACTCCGTATTTGATTTTTTTTCAAAACACATTGCTTGTATTTTAATCATTAATTTATTTAAATTTGTATTTCATATTAATGTAATAAAATAAAATTCTAAATATTCTGAACAAGATATATGTAATGAGATTCAATGTTTGTTCTAGACCTGATCAAAGAACGGGCCGGGCCGAGTTTCGGGCCGGACCGAGACACTACATTAAGAGATCTTTCTAGGCCCAAGCCAGGCTCCGTACAATTGAAGTCCGAGCCCAGCCCGTATGGATACCTGCGAGCTTCGAGCCAACCCGGTCCGTCCGATAAAAACTTCTAAATAATTTAAAAAATATTTTTTTTCTTAAAAAGTAATGAGTTAATATATCAGATATTTGATATAATAACTATAATGAGTAGATGAAAGAAAAATTAATATATAAATTATATTTTGTTTAATATTGCTACTATATATGGAGTACGAAGTATTATTTATTGGAATATCATAATCAATGTGTGATATGTTGTAAACAATACGGAGTAATAAAGATGTACTCATTTTATTATATATACTTATAATTTATTTATTTTTCTCTATATTTATTTTTCTCTATAAAAGTATGTATGTGTGTTTATAATAGTTTGAAATAGTTTTGTTCTTATTATTATTATTATTATTATTATTAATGTTGTTATTGTTATTTTATTATAATTATACTACCTCCGTCCTAGAGTATTTGTCCACTTTCATTTTTACACACCATCCAATGCACTATTTAAATTCATTTTATCTTGTAATTTGTATATTAAAAAATTATAGAAATTATATATTAATAATCTATATGTTAAGACAAATCAAACAAGATCACACATGACTATATTTAGATTTACACATTGAGAGAATTTGATGATTTAAAGTGCTTAGATGGACAGCTCCAAAAGTCAAAACTGGATGAATACCCTGGGACGGAGGGAGTACTAATTTGGTCAGATTTAGGCTCTCTTCTTTATTCCTCCGACAAGGAGTTAGAAGACTTAAACGTCGAAGTTATTCATAACTTCAAACTTTACACTGACTATTATTGTCAGCGCCTCACACATAATAATGGTATGTTCTTGTATAAAATTTGGAATAATGATAACCTCAAAAAATTAGGATTACCCTAGCACGGTTCACTTGGAATATGCTAAGGTCATCCCCAATACAAGGAGTCTTCCCACTCTTTCATGCTCTCCGACACCAGTATTTGAGTGTTTCTAACTCTTTTCTAGACTATCAGAGTACTGCTCAATCCTTAGACTCTTTCAAATTTTGTCACATTAGCATTCCACTGTCTTTTACTTTATTAACTTTTAATTCTATCTACCTCTTTACAAAATCAAGAGGAAAAAATTCTCGCCTAAAAACATAGGGTCGGTTGCTACATGAATGAATTGATCATCTGTTGGGCCTGTCAATTACCATCTACAACTTAGAAGCTACCAGCTATAAATCGATACCCACTATTACAATTTACAAATGTGAAACTGGCTAACCGTACACCACTATCAAGTTCACGGCTCTCTTAAATCAATGGAGGCATTGGGAACTTTTTTTTGTAGCTTGAGGAAGATGTTGAAGATGGAGGTTGTTATTGCAGGACTTTATTTAACTATTCATCATCTTCTTCGTGTAGCTATGGTACATCAAAATTTTAGCATCATTTTCTTTATTTTCTTATAGAATTAAGGTGTCAAATTGATCTATCATACTCGAAATATACTTTGAGTTCCTTAAAATTTATAATATTATATTTTGGGGGTACGTTTTGTCCATTTAGGCGTTAGGATTGAAAGTTCTTTAACTTTGAGAAACTGAAGGGTTTTATTTAAATTTAATAAAATAATAATTATGAAGTTAAAATTTAGTATTTATTAGAGTACAGAAACTTTCAATCCTAACGATCAAATAAACAGAATATACCCAAAGAGTACATTACCACTAATTTTAAAGACCCCATAATATATTTCAATAATGTGAGACCTGAGAGTTCTTATAAAAAAATTATAGATACTCGAAATTATATTTCAAATAATTTAAGACCTAAGAATCATTACCAGAAAATTGGTGATACTCCATGCAAATTTTCTGCATTTTAAATTGGAAATAAATTGGGACGGAGACAATAACTCATGTGAGCGAGTCATTTCAGCATATGCTGTCTTTGGATCTTCTTTCTTTCTCCACACTAGGCGGTCCACTCTACTGCCCAGTTAGGTACAGTACTACACTCGCTTCCCCAATCACACCTCCTTACCAAAAGCTCTCCATTTTGCTTCCATTTCTCTGATTTTGCATGTGTGGGTGGGGGGGATAAAAGAAGATCTGCTGCTAATCTGTATTCCCTTTTTTGGGTAATTAATTTTTTTGGATGTTTAGATCTATGTTTATGCTTTTGTGTAGCTTCTGCCTGCCTGCATATTTATGGAGTTTGGGTTTTCTATGACCCATACTTCCACCAGATCTGGACTTACTTTGAACAAAAGCTGGACTGAAAAAAAGGGGATTTTTTTTTGTTTTTTACTGTACTTTCTTTCTAATTTTCAGTGGTATACTATTCCAGTCTTAATTGATTCGAACTATACTTTTCCTTACACAGACAACAATAATGTAAGTGTGGTGTATAAATGAATTTAACACACTTGAGTTAGAACCTTTATATCTGCATAAAGTTGTTTTTATTTAATTTTAAAAACCTTTATTTAAATCCACTCCTGTTAGATGGTATGGGCATCTGCTAATCTATCCCAGTTTATGCTTGTCTAGCTTCTGCCTGCATTAATGGTGGAATGTGACTCATTCATTCATCCATTTTTTGACCCATGTTTCCACCAGATCTGAACATGTTTTGACCAGAAATTGACTAAGTGAAGAAGAATTTGTTCCTCCTTTTTCCTCATGTTTGTGCCCACTCATTCATTTTGATTTTTATTCTCTCAAACCTTGACTGCAGAATCTAATTCCAATTAATGCTGTTTATGTTTTAAAAATAACTGGTTATGTTCAAAACTTCAAATATTGCTGTAAAATGCTGCTTGAAATTGTGAGGTTGTGACACACACTTTTTAATAAAGTTAATAGTATTAAAAAATGTGCCATACTTTGTACAATAACCTTTCAAGTGACACACACTTTGGTGTTGCCGTTAATGTGCAGTGCGTCCGGCGTCCCCATACCCAACAATGTCAGACCTTGAGGCTCCCCTTCGCCCCAAGAGGAAGAAGGGTATGGTGGACTTCCTTGTGCAGTTCAGATGGATCGTCGTAATCTTTTTCGTCCTCCCAGTGTCCTTCATCTACTACTTTGCCATCTACCTCGGCGACGTGAAATCGAACCTCAAATCCTTCAAACGCCGCCAGAAGGACCACGAGGAGAATGTCAAGAAGGTCGTGAAGCGTCTCAAAGAAAGGAACGCGTCCAAGGACGGCCTCGTCTGCACGGCCCGAAAACCGTGGGTCGCGGTCGGAATGCGGAACGTGGACTACAAGCGGGCCCGCCATTTCGAGGTCGATCTGTCCGCGTTCCGGAACATTCTAGACATTGACACGGAGAGAATGGTTGCCAAGGTTGAGCCTTTGGTCAACATGGGCCAGATAAGTAGGGCCACGGTCCCATTGAACGTGTCCCTTGCGGTTGTTGCTGAGCTGGACGACCTTACGGTTGGAGGGCTGATCAACGGCTACGGCATAGAGGGTAGTTCACACTTGTACGGATTGTTTTCTGACACTGTTGTGGCATATGAGATCATTCTAGCTGACGGGGAGGTTGTCAGGGCTACAAAGGACAATGACTACTCTGACCTTTTCTATGCCATTCCATGGTCTCAGGGCACCCTAGGGCTTCTCGTTTCGGCCGAGATTAAGCTAATACCGATCAAAGAGTACATGAAAGTGACCTACAAACCCGTGGTCGGTACCCTTAGGGAGATCGCACAGGCATACATAGACTCATTTGCACCTAGGGATGGAGACCAAGACAACCCAGCTAAGGTTCCAGACTTTGTGGAAACCATGATATACACTCCCAGAGAAGCTGTTTGCATGACCGGCAGGTACGCGTCCAAAGAAGAGGCGAAACAGAAGGGGAATAAGATCAACAACATTGGTTGGTGGTTCAAGCCATGGTTTTACCAGCACGCGCAGACGGCGCTCAAGAAAGGGGAGTTTGTGGAATACATTCCGACCAGGGAATACTACCACAGGCACACAAGGTGTTTGTACTGGGAAGGCAAGCTCATCCTCCCCTTTGCCGACCAGTGGTGGTTTCGGTATCTTCTTGGGTGGTTGATGCCCCCCAAAGTTTCTCTTCTGAAGGCTACTCAAGGAGAGGCCATTAGGAACTTTTACCATGACAATCATGTCATCCAGGACATGCTTGTTCCTCTGTACAAGGTTGGAGATGCTCTCGAGTGGGTTCATCGCGAAATGGAGGTACCCATTCATAAAAAAAACTTTTCTTCTTTACTTTCACAGGCTTCTGATAACTTTTGTTTGTGTTTTTTCATTGGTTATTTGATAAAATCAGGTATACCCAATTTGGCTATGCCCACACAGGCTTTACAGGCTGCCAGTGAAAACCATGGTGTACCCGGAACCAGGATTTGAGCTGCACAGGAGGCAGGGAGACACGGGCTACGCCCAGATGTACACAGACGTTGGGGTGTACTACGCGCCAGGCTCTGTCCTCAGGGGGGAGATCTTTGACGGGTCACTGGCAGTTCGGCGCATGGAGGAGTGGCTGATTGAGAACCACGGGTTCCAGCCGCAGTACGCCGTGTCGGAGCTGTCAGAGAGGAGCTTCTGGAGGATGTTTGATGGGGGGCTCTACGAGCGCTGCAGGAGGAAGTATAGAGCCATAGGGACGTTCATGGGGGTGTACTACAAGTGCAAGAAGGGGAGGAAGACGGAGAAGGAAGTGCAGGAAGCCGAACAGGAGAAAGCCCAAGTCGAAACCCCTGATGTCGATTGATTAAACTCCTTGCAGGTTCTTGATTCTGTGGCCGTTTGTTGTTTCTGTACTCTTATGCACTTTCTTTCTTTCTTTCTTTCTTTGGGTTTGGTATGTGTCTGTGTGTGAGGGAGGTGATGTTTTTTTAATCTTTCTTGGAGGACATTGGTGGACTCATTCATCATTTCTTAAATCTATATGCTTCTTACTTCCTCCCCTTACCCAGTTAGTTAAATTTGCACTAAATAGGACTAAAACATAATGACTTTTCTAATGTAAGACTTAAACTTTTTTATTTCTTAGATAAGAAGACTTAATAATGACCTAGTGGAAGGAATAATATCTAGTAATGATGGACATTTAGTTGAATAATGACTACTTGAAAATGACCAAAGGTCCTACATTGAGAAATAAAAACATATGATTCTATATTGGGAAAGTCATTATGTTTTAGTCTTACTTAGGCAAATTTCTCTACCCAGTTACCCCTTTATATCGCAATTCAATATTTTTTTCCCGTAATTTGTGGTTAAAATTTGAAAACACTGACCACAAATCAAAATAGAAAGAAAGAGTACAGCCTCGCCTTCTCTACCCCACCCTCCCCCATGCCATAGTCTATTCCAACCTTCACTCCCCTTTGAATATCGAATAATGTTTTCTTCCATTTTATTTTCAAGAACCAAATAAAGAAAATTAGTAGGTTAGGTATTTGGTTCATTGTCAATTTGTTTCTTTTAATGCTTCTTTCTCACATCTCTGTTTTCAATGTAATCTTGATATTTCAAAGGCTCTTTGCTGCAATGAAATTAGACATATCAAAGAGTAAATTTCATAAATATGAGTATAAAACATATACCAAAGAGTAAATTTCATAAATGGTCTCTAATTACGAGTACATGATTTTTCATATTTAGTCTCAATTCTTTGATATTTTGTAAATGGTCCTTAATTTTGAAAAACTATTTCATGAATAGTCCTTTAAGTCAAATATGATAAAATATTTTTTCCACAAATAGTTTTTGAAAGACTAATTATGAAATAGTTTTAAAAAATTGAGGATGGTATATGAAAAATCTAAGAATTGGGGACTTAATATGGAAAGTATCTATAATTAGAGACCATTTATGAAATTTACTCTATACTAAAATGTGAGTTTTATGTTTTTATTCCTAAAATAAGAGTTAAATGTATATACAGTGCCAATCATGTCGATACATAATAACAAATTGTATTGAGAAATGTCCATATACAGTATCACATTATCACAATGCAAACTCATATTTTGGGGATAAGAACATTGAGATCTTATTTTGATAATTTCCTCTATGTTTTACTTCGATTTAAAGTAATTTCTTCTCCTAGTTTGCATCCGTAACACTATCTTTTCGACCAGTTGGTCACGCAAACTTAATTTTCATACAAGGATTTGTGACAAGAGGACACCACCAATGGATCAATACAGATACAATACATTCCAATTCGGATATACAATGTTTTCTATACATTCGTATGAAAATTTATTTTCATGTAACGACATATTCTTTTTCACGTAACTAAATATTCATTTTCAAGTATTATTGAATTTTATAAAAATAAATATTAAATTAATTAAAAATAAATTCTCCGTTGCTTGTAAGAGCACTGGTAATGGTCCTCACGCCCGCCGGCGTGAACGGGCGTTTAACGCCCCGGGGGCGTGAAACACCGCCCCCCTCCGGCGTTATAGGGGCGTGAGTCGCCCAGCGTCATACGTTTGACGCGGCGTGAGGACGTTTTTTTAGCCGGCTCCCCTTCCCAACGGCTATATAGCCCTTACCCCCCCCCCCCCAATTAAAAAAAAATCTAAATTTAAAAAAAAAATACCTATAAAATCCCCCCTTCTCATACATCTTTCTCACACCTCTCTCTCACAAATCTCTCTTTATTACTATATGTTCTCTCAAAAATATTTATTATTTATTATAAATATTTATAAAATATAATTTAAAAATGGGTTCATCTTCCGACGATGAAAGAAGAGCTTTATTTTTTCGTTGTTTCGCGACGAATTGTATTCAATGGTGGGAAGATGGCCAAGAAGAAGCAGAATCCTCCCGACAACGGACCCGACGACAACGTCTAAACCGGGATCGAGCGGCCGCCCACGATTCACTTCTAAACGACTACTTTAATAATCCGTGTGTTTATACACCGGAGGATTTTAGTAATCCATTGGGTCAATGAGACCGCACCGGACTCCTCTTTTGAGCTTAGAGGGACGCTTTACAAGCGCGGATATTATTTGGCTGATGGAATATATCCGGATTATTCCACNTATTCTCAGACAAAAATGAGGAATATCATGTACGCATGTATTATTCTTCATAATATGATCATAGAGTATAACGGGTCTGCGATTTGTCAATACAACCCGGACGAGGAGGTGCCTATGTACGAAGAAATCGCCGAAGAAAAGAAACGACGCAACCGCCAAGAAATTCGAAGCCGAGAGATTCACAATGCACTAACGGCGGATTTGATCGAGCATATCTTTAGTCGTTCGAATAATTAGTGATTTCTTTGTACTGTTGTTTTTTTATGTAATTTTTTTTAATAAATGTAATTTTTTTTAAATGTTTTTTTAATGAATGTAAGATTTTTTTTATAATGAATTTAATTTTTTTTATGCAATAGTGTCATTGCGATTAATTAAAATAATAAATTAATTTAAATTAATAAATTTAAATTTAGAAGATGTATATTTAAAAATGTAAAAAATGAAGGTTTGAAGCCCCAGTTTGAAGCCCCAGGGCTTCAAAACCATTTCCAGTGAATTTTGGGTGTAAGTTAAAGCTGACGTGGCAGGGAGAGAAAGTTTGAAGTCCCGGTTTGAAGCCCCGGGGCTTCATGACCATTACCAGTGCTCTAAGGCCACCCGCATTGGATGGAGTACTTGAAGGAGAAGAAGAAGTCCTCCAGGAGGAGTACAAGCATTGGAAGGAGGAGAGGGAGGAGGAGAAGTCCTCCTCAAGAGAGAGAAGGAGGAGTTCTAGTCCGTGGAGAAGAAGAAGAAATGGGATGGGAGAGCCAATCCCTTCTTGACATGTGGCATTTCCTTCCATTCTTTTTGTATATGAGAAAGCTAAGTAGTTTTTTAATAGGAATAAGTATAATTAAATTTGAGAATTTTTTTAAATAAAATTTTTATTTTGTTCTCAAATGAAAATTGAGAAATCTACATTATTAGAAGTAAAATATAAAAAAATTATCAACAAATAGGGGTATCTCGTTTTTAACTCTTAAATAAGATTATAGGTGTGTGACAATTTAACACTATATGTTGAAAGTTTAAATTAAATTCAATTTGTTAGAAAGATATAGATAGGCATCTTTAATTTAATTTTGTTTCGAGATTCATTTGAAATAAATTTAATTAACTTTTTTATTTTTATTAATGAATTACAATTTTATTGTCAAAACCATAAAAAAGAAATACAATTATATTTTTCATTAATTTGTAAATTCATATAATTGTACATATAGTATAAATATTTAATAAAAAATCATTTAAGAAATATAATGAATAGTATTTTAGTAATCCTTTTGATGTAGGAGATAAGGAGGAGTAGTCCTCCCTTTAGTCCACCACCCAATGTGGGTGCTCTAAATGAGTACTCGGACATACCTGAAACAAATATATAGGGTTCACACCAAGCAAAGTGAGCAACTGGATGATGACAAGTGAAATCTCAAAACACAAATATTACACACTTCTTCTGGTCCAACCACACCATTCCAACTCAGCTTCCCTTATCCATTTTCCCTCCTTTTTTTCCTCACACCATATCCCTCTCTCTCTCTCTCTCTCTCTCTCTCTCTCTCTCTGCGCAAAAGCCACCGATCGGCCAAAATCAATTGAGAACAGAAAATGTCATTCACAATCCCCACAAGCCTCTCGAAGCCCTTCAATCCAACACCAAGGTCGATCGCGAAGCCGGCTAGGTCTCCCGCTCTACTAATCTGCTCTGCAACTTCCTCCGCCAATGGATCGACAGATCCGCCGTCGTCAGCGTGGCTGAAGGCGTTCCCCGCGGCCTTCGCAATCTCCGCCGTCCTCTTGTCGGCGCCTGCGCTTCCAGCCGCCGCAGACATCTCGGGGCTGACGCCGTGCAAGGAGTCCAAGCAGTTCGCCAAGCGGGAGAAGCAGCAGCTGAAGAAGCTGGAGTCGGCGTTGAGCAAATACGAACCCGACAGCGCTCCTGCTCTCGCTCTCAAGGCCACCATTGAGAAAACTCAGCGCAGGTAAACTGCTCTCAAGCCCTCTTCCATAGGTCGGGTTTGAAATCAGGAAAACCAGATTCCAAGATTCGAAATATTAAATAGTCGATTAATTTTTCTCCATTTTGCGTTAGAGATGCATTGATTTTAATATAATTAGATAGCATTAGATTTGTTTTGGATTGCAATTTCAAAAAGTAATACATTTAGAATTCAGTTTATCTTTAGTCATATACGAAGAGTTTTTCTCAATATATTTTGTCCCAAACTATTGAAAGAAATTGGATGTGGGAACTTAATTTTTGAGACGAAGCTAGGATTAGACTGATAGAATAATTCAATCAACTAGTAATAATTGTTCTAAAGCTGTTTTATGTGATTGTTTCAAAACAATTGTAGTCCTTTTGCTCTAAGGTTTCTTTTCGTTCTTTGCTGTCCCACAATTTTTTCCCTCTTTCTCTTAAGTAAAGATTCTTGCTGTTATTCTTTTGTCGTGTTTTTAACTGAACTACGAACACTATTCATGAAGAAATTTTTAGGACATTGTAGTAGTCGATTAGAATTCAGAATGAAATATGAAATACTTTGTTTTTTATTTAAACAGTGGTTATGTAACACTATGAGTCCATATTTAAACCATATTTAAACTATGAATCCAGATATAAAACTCCGTCTCGAATTTATTGTCTTGAATTCTGATGAGATATGCTTATATTGCTCTAAGAATTGGTCCAAACACCAATGGTTTGGTTTGGTCTGGTCTGATTTTGTCTGAACTAATGATATGATGGAGCAGATTTGAAAAGTATGG